TTCACGTTTTTGTAGTTTACACATAGACGATAACCGTATCGTTTTCGTTAACTTGCACTTTGAAACCCGTTTTCAAGCGTCTGCATCTTCAGGCCCAAAACGCAGTTGTTGTGTATAGAACCGCATAAAACGTTTACCGGTAAGTTTTAAGTTGAAAACGGTGACATATAAACGTTTTTAAGTTTTCAAGGGTACTAAAAATGCAAATATAGTGCAATCATAAAATAATTCTAAACAAATACTAATAATAAAGAACATTTTTATTCAAAACATAGCTGTGGATCTTGATTTTTTTCAACTCAAAACTGAGAAATGATTTAATGATATTTACCCTCAACATCAAGGCACCGGGGTGGCGTGTCCGACCAGATGAGGTTATACATGCATTCTAAAAGTTCAGGACCCTCTAACTTGTAACCAGGAAAACACTGGTAGTGGACTACAGTTCCAACAGGCACTGAGAACTCTGTTTCCGAGATGTTCATGTAACTGTGTGGAGGTATCAGCGGCCGTAGACAGCCTGTGGAGACAGAGGAGCGCATCAAACCCACACCCTAAGTGGAGGACATCATTTTTGAAATATAGTCAGATTTGTTGACTAGCATCAACCTTGACAAGTCGGCTGATTATCCCACGTCCCATCGGCTTGACATACTGATTCCATAGTTTCCGTGTCAGGATACCGGATCTGAAATCCCTCATGACAGCTAATAATGAGGCTGTCGCCAGGCCTGTACGTCTTATTTGTGACATGGGCATCCTCGATGAATGGAGGAAGACAATCTTTGAAAGATAGATTCTCCAAATAAATAAACGCTGCAACATTTTCATACAATTACAATGAAACAGTAAAAACCATTGAGTTACAGAACGGAACTATTTGAGATTGAGTAGCCGCACCTTCTGAAAGGCACACTGGTTTAAGGCTTGGTTTCCAGCCTACCGATCCATTGTGGAAGCGCGTGCAGATAATCTTGGCCGGCCCCTTTAAGCTGTAACCATCAACACAAGAGAACCTCGCCACCGAGTTTTCGAAGAACACACCGGTGTTTGGAGTTCTGATTCCGTGCTCAGGAACACCGGGATCTTTGCAGAACTGCCCCACTAAAAGTTCACCGGGAAGAACCAAAATCATGCATTTAAAGCAAAGAAGACGTCTTATGATTGTGCAGATATCAGTGTTGGGTCCTAATGTCTGTAATTTGATCGTTTTTGTTCCATACCTTTCAAGCTTTAATATACTCTTGTTTATATCTGCTACATATGAAAGTATTTCATAAAAAATGTAAAAAAAGAAAAAAGAAAATGCTGGACAAATAAATAAAAACACTGACTGGTCTAAGGTACATAGAAGCTTGTTTCCGTCACAGAATAAAAAATAAAAAGGGTAATTGCGACTTTTTATCTCACAATTCTGACTTTTTTCCCCCTCAGAATTGCGAGTTTAATCACGCAATTCTGACTTTTTTTTCTTGCAATTGCGTGTTTATATCTCACAATTCTGACTATCTTGCAATTCTGACAACTTTTCTCAAAATTGTGAGATAAAAACTCAATTTTGAGTTTTAAGTCTAATTCTGAGGGGGGGGACTGACTTTCTCAGAATTGTGTGATATAAACTCGCAATTGCAAGAAAAAAAGTCTGAATATATCACTCAATTCTGACTATATCTCACAATTCTAACTTTTCCCCTCGCAATTCTGATTTTATTTCTCGCAATTGCAAGTTTATATCTTGCAATTCTGACTTTATAACTCAATTGTGAGGGGGGAAAAGCAACTGCGACCCGAGTTCGATTCCCAGGTTGAGGTCCTTTGCCGATGTTCCCCTCTCTCCCTACCCCATGCTTTCCTGTCAAAATCTCTACTGTCCTATCCAATAAACTCAAAAAAGAAAAAGAAAACAAAAGTTGTAATTATCTTTTAAGTTATTTTATTCTGTGGCGGAAACTCTTCCATACATGTATGAAAAACTGACAAAGTCTGGTCAGTCATGGTGATTCAGCTTATCACAAATTAAATCATAAACAACAAGATAGAAATTTGCTATCTCTTTTCCGCAATCTATCTTTTCCTAATATTGTTATTTTCCTTTATATTTTAAATATGTTCTTACAACAACTTCTATCACCTTAGGAGGGTGTTGAGGGCATGATAGCATTTTGTCACCCATATTTTTGTTTGGTAAATCTGTAGTGTTACAACTCAGCCCGTGTTACAACACTCCTCTGTAGTCTCTCCAGCATCACACTATCAATATATCATTTCCTTTTACATGAGAAAACACTTTTTCTGCTGAGCTGTTTGTTTTACTCAATGGTTCTGTAATTTTATGATTGTGGTTTTTGCTTGTTTTGAATTTGTTTGCTTCGTCATGACCAAAGGTTATTCAATATACAATTAACAGGCAGCTGGAAAGCAGCATCGTCATGGCATTAAGTGACTCTAAGGCAGAACAGAACAGAATGGGCCGGGGGGGCTTTCGACAATTTCAGAGTGTCCCGTTACACAAGGGAGGTCCTGCATTCTCATCATCATATTCCCAAATCCTTATCACTTTTGTAATCGCAGCATTTAAGCAGTTCTCTTACCTACTGTGTTAGCCGGGAAGGCGGTGACCAGAAAAGGAAGGAGGAGGAGGAGGATGATCGAGAGAACAATCTGGCCGTAGACAGGATGTCCAAACGCAGATTTCTTGCCTTCTTTATCACCATGATGAAACATCTTTCATTGAATGAAATTCATCGGGTCACAATGCTCTGAAATTATGATGACAACGACAAAAACTAGGTAAAACGTGAAAATATTAGGATTGCATCATGGATTTTCAACCCTGCAGAATCTCCTCGCCGACGCGCAGAACATGATGACCAGTAAATCCCCATATCAATTTGTAAATACCAAAATAGTCTTTTCGGGAACGCGTGTAGGGCATATCCGGCACGCATTATTATGCATTATTCAATTGTCTTCAGCAGATCAGAGGAAGGCTCGCGCAACATATCGACGCTGTTTAAATGTACGACGGTCGAGATGATGATGAAAAATACGTCATTAAGCGTCACTAGTCTACCTTACCCGGTTGAAAGCCAAGGTCTAATGATGACGCTACTGCTGTTTTTAAAAAAGTGCTCGTGTTTTCAGATTTGTTTCTGTCACCTACCCACTGTCGTACATTGAAAATCAGCTTCGTCGGAGTTTCTCTCTGCCTCGAGCTGATCAAGCTGATTATATTCAATGTAATAATGAGGTTACTTCTGCTGTTGTAGGGTCGCTCTTCATTTCTACACTGGAAAGTTATCCAGCCTCTCGTGGTGTAAGTAGGCTATCTCGTGATGGGTAGATGAATTATTATACAGCAGGTCAAAGGTGTGGAGAAATATAAAATGAGCAAAAGGGAAACTAGTAGGCTACTGCTATTAAAAGAAAGAGCTAGAATACATTTGAAAGGATGAGCATGTGATATGATCTGATCTCCCTAAATAAGGGTTAAAAAAGACATGAAATTTTGGTGATAGACAATTTTGATTTACACAAGTAAATAGGCCTATTCCTTTTAACATATTAACAGCAGGCAATGAATTTTGTTCATCTCAGAATGAAACTTTGACAAATATGAAACCTGTCATTATTTATTAGCGAATTACAGAATATCAGATAGGCTATTGAAAGCATTCAGAGATGGTTTTATCTTATGCATTCAAGGTAAAAGTGTATTAATTATATTAGGAATGATGCACTGGCTGGTCAGCACTTTAAAATCTTTTCGTTGTACCTGTGACAATGACAATAAAGTTTTCTATCTAAATATCAGTAAAATTCAATAGTTAGCTAATGTAGGCTACTAACAAATTAAGTGAACAAAGCTTGACCACTGAATGCATGACTCAGGTGAAAGTTTAGGCTGAAGGAATTCAATTTATTCACTATAGAAATCATCTTGTCAGATATCATAAAGATCAAAGAGCTAAAATAATAATAAGCTGCATTTATTTGTTTGTTTTGCAAATTACGTCTTATCAAAGTGCATATTCATGTCATGCAAGAATATACTCATATAGAGGCATTATCATTTTAAACATCAGAAGCAACTTTTGAAGATTACAATAACAGAAAAAAACATGTATTTCCCAACTTCCTGCAGAGAAAAACTTTAGTCAAGTCAAGTGACCTTTATTTATATAGGCCTAATGCTTTACACAGATTGTTTCAAAGAATATTTACTGTAATAAAAGGAAAATGATTCAATGATCCAAACAGAGATCATTTCGGCTGTACAGCTGCTCTAAAAGAAGAGTGTCATTGTTCAGCTGAAGTCAGTTCAGTGTTGATTCAGTTCCATTGTAAATATCATCAATTATTAAATCAGTTCATTTCATCTATAAAGCAGCTCTGCAGAAAAACAGTGATGTCATCATCCAGCTCAGTTCAGTTCTCATCCAATAGTGTCAGTGCAGTCATATCAATAATATTGCTGAATATTAAGTATCCCCAACTAAGCAAGCCTGAGGCGACAGTGGCGAGGAACCCAAACTCCATCAGGGGACAGAATGGAGAGAGAAACCTTGGGAGAAACCAGACTCAGTCGGGGGCCAGTTCTCCTCTGGCAACGAACGAACAGATTATGATTCAGGCTGCATCACAAGTTAGAAATCTGATAGTGGATCAGGATAGCATTCAAATATTTAATCCAGTTCGGATTCATCACACCTGTGTCATGTGCAAGCCTACATATATTTTCACATTTATGGGATGCTAAGACTGCTGAGTTAATCATTTTAATGGGTAATCTTTTAAAGCATCACTGCCAGAAAAACATAAATTTTCAAGAACAATTTTAAAGCTTCAACCCATTTTGAAATACTATATTTTTTAACATTTCTATTTTAGATAGGGACAGAGTTTCAATGTAATTCAAAAGTTCAATCCTTCAGAGAATGTGTAGAGTCACAAAGAAGATTAGGCTACTTTACATAGCCTATAGCTACACAAAGAGACATTACTATCAACTTAAAAAAAAAACACACGGTTATGTAGCAGTTATCATTCACTTGAATAGGCTACACTTCCTTGAAACTCGTCATAATCTGGTGGATTGCATTCCTGTACAGTTGCTTTACGACCGCGCAAATAACGCACAAGTACTAATAGAGCAAAAGCAGCTACTACTAGGAATATTATCAGCCCAACATATTCTCCTGGGGTCGACAGGCTCCCCCGTGCTATATAATTAGGGGACGGTGTTGTGAATACTTGACCACTAAGATCGAGAACGCATTCACTTCCATTAACGAGGATAAAGGGCTGAAAGCAATCACATCTATAACTCCCTATCGTATTTATACACATGTGAGCGCAGTCATGATTTGATTCACATTCATCTATATCTACGCAGGTTTGTTCGCTTCTAACAAAGCCATCCGGACACCAACACGCCGTCCCGCTTTTCATACATAGCGCTTCACAAACTGACGTTGCGCAATAGAAGTCACAGCGGCGTGGATCCCGTGCATTAGGACGGAATCGCTCACGACACGAACACCTGTATCCGGTTTCCATAGGAATACATGTATGTTCACAGGGTGCATACATACATCGCGCATTGTCCAGGATGACCACGCTTCCTCTGCAGAGATCCTCCTGAGGGTCCTCACACAGAAATCCATCCAGTTTTTCTGCGCATGGTTTCACCGTCAATGTTCTGTCGCTGGAGACAGACACGCAGAGAGGAACGCACGCCGTTTCTGCGCTCTCCAAGTTCGTCAATTCCGTGGTCATTTCTCTTTCGCGTAATGCACTCGTATTACTTGAGCACTTATCCTTTGGAAAATGTTGTCCTATCCAAAAGTGTCCGATCATGTTATCAAGAAGAAAGCCGAAAACTTTATCAGATGCATTCGGTTGGATAGAGAATTGACCGCCCCGTTCTCTGCAATTCTCTTGAGCCGTTTGAAAGTCCGCTGGTATTTGGTAGATGTTTGCACAATGTTTTAGATTACTTGAGCAAGCACAGCTATGCCCCAATCCAGCACAAGACGAAATTAACACGATGAAAATCAAAATAGTTTGTCCATAATAAGAATCCATCCTATCTTGATTTCAAGAGGTAGGCTACGGCAACTTGAGCTGCACGAGGATAGTCTATATGGCTTTAAAAGCATTGAATATTCCTAACTTTAGAAAACCCATTACAGAGGCCTAAAGGTAAACATAGGAAGGAAACCCCGCCTGAGGGAGCCGAGGAATAGCCTACCCCCAAAATGACGGGTCACTGTTTGTTCTTATAAATGTGATGCACTTATAGGCCTACGCACGCTCCAAAAGAAATGCACCAATGGCAATCAATGACCTTGACAATTACTCATGAATAATTGTGTTCCCACGAGAATGTTCACAGTTAACGATTCATTCATTCATTCAGTCAGTCAGTCAGTCAGTCAGTCAGTCAGTCAGTCACTCACTCGCTCACTTACTTCCTCATGTAGCCTGCTCTTTCGAAGACATTTCAGTAAAAAAGTAGCAGGGCTGTTCAATTCTGTTCCTGCACAAACCGGAGATTTTAGTTTCAACCCCAATTAAACACACCAGAACAAACAGTTTTTAAAATACAATGATTTCACGTACAGTTAAAGGTATATTCAAGTATAAAGAAACTAATAGAGTAGCTTCCTAAAGTGCAAAAATAATATATAAATAGTAAACGACAAGTATGATGTTATGTTCACTTAAAGAAAACTTACAAGGATACTTGCAGTATAAAACTAACTAGTTTACTGAGAGTATACTTCAAAGTGGACTTTGATAAACTAAAAAAATGTGCGACAAGTATTTGACTAGAAAACTGTCAGTAGGATACGTTCACTTATATAGTAGGCCTAGTAGTGTAGACACCGATGACACAGATACACCTTTTGCTTTAGCATCTATAACTCGCTGAATTTTTTAGCTTGAGTTCTCAAACTTTTATACAAAGTACCCACATTTGTTTACTACCTGTACAAATGGAACCAATTCATCCCCCTACAAGAATATCACAGACCTCGTGAGTTGATGTCAAATACATGGTGTTCCTTTGATCCTTTTACAACCCTAACGGGATAGGTAACACATGCTGGGGTAAGCTGTAGCAATAGACAAAAGAAGTAAAAATGGATGCCATACCATATGATTTTGATCAAAAACAAATTTATTGAAATAAAATAACAATGTCTCTCTCTCTCTCTCTCTCTCTCTCTCTCTCTCTCTCTCTCTCTCTCTCTCTCTCTCTCTCTCTCTCTCTCTCTCTCTCTCTCTCTCTCTCTCTCAATAACAGACTATGTATGCTTGATTCGCTGTGTGTGTGTGTGTGTGTGTGTGTGTGTGTTTAAATTTGTCTACTAGAACAAACTTAACAGTACACTTAATGCCATAATAACACTAGGCTACTACAATCTACCTAATTAAATAACATCTTTGTACATCTTTAGGTCTAACAAAAAAAAAACAAAAAAACATGTGTGTACATTAATCTACTAAACAAACGTACTTAACGGTATACTTAATAAACACTACTACAATGTATCAGATTAAAGAACATCTTTGTACATCTTTAATAACAAAACATAACATGTCAATGTGTGTGTGTGTGTGTCTATGTGTGTATTATTTCTTAATCAGAAGAGCATTCTTAAACAGTTCTGACAGATGCATGATGCTGGTAACCTTGGAGTGCAGGCTTGATGGCCATTATCTGCATAGGGCATTTCACACAAAACCTTCTTTGGCTTTGAGTTGTTAAATTGCTCCATGCAAACCACTTTATTTAAAAAAACACTGGCAGAGACACCTCTGTCAGTCTTTCTTTTTTCCATGCCCTAGTTATTCTTTAAAAACATTAAAATCAAGAAAATTCTTAGTTATATTCTTAGTAGGGGTGAACTGGTGTTTGAAACAAACATTGCTAACAGGCATTTGTGTAAAAACTTTCTAGATAACATTGTATCTCTGTTATGATGCTGACAGAAAATAAGTATTTCACACTTTATATTTAATTATTCAGTTTAATGTTGCTTTTTTTCCGTTCTTTGTCCAATCCAGATGAAACCCAGCAGTAGTTGTCAGCGGTGGTATTTTTCAAAGTGGCTTTTTTTGAACGCTTCCATAAAACGACAGATATGACCACAGTGAGCGCAACCAGTGTAATAACCGAAGCTAAGACGCACACCAATATCCAAGAACTACCGAGGAAACTTTCTCTGCGTTTAGTGGTGTCCGCTTTAGCGTTTGTCTTGTTAAGTAGAGGGGGGTTGATTGTTGTCGACTCAAAACTGACAGGTAAATGACTCAATTTAGTGATGAACTCTTCTCTATGAACTGGAGATGGAGTGTTTTGTGGATTCTCAGTGGGATCCGGGACGCAGCTGATGCCATTTTTAGCCAAAATGAAGTTTTCTCTGCACGAACATTTGAAACTACCTATAGTATTGAGGCAGATGTCTTCACATGGTTTACCAAGACATTCATCTATATCTGTACATATCCCTCTATCGTCTGATAATGAAACGTAACCTGCGTGGCAGTAACAAGAGAATGAACCCTGTGAATTGAGACAGCCCTGCTGACACCTTGATTCGGTGCATTCGTCCACGTCTTCACATTTGCCAGCAAAGAGCCTGAAACCTGGGTTACACTCACAAAGAAAGCTTCCCGGCGTGTTGTGACACCTGTGTTCACCGCAGACACGCTGATGACATTCATCGATATCAACGCAGCTGATGTTGTCTTCAGACAGCTGAGATCCATCCGCGCATGCGCATGAAAATCCAGCAGCTGTTGGAATACACTTTGATTTGCACGGTGAATTTTCGCAGGTGTTTCTGAGAGCGCAACTAACTTGATCATCCATCAGATAATAACCGTCACGACATTCACAACGAACACTTGCTCCAACAGTCTCCGAACAAAGGTGATCACAGCCTCCGTTTTTACGCGCACAACTTCTATTATCTCGAGCGCAAAAACGCTCTGAATTTGTCCAGGCAAAAATGCCATCTTTGTTGTCACAAACTGAGATAAAGGATTCTGCATCTTTCGACCCGCCGCACAGTATTTCAGCCCATGTCCCGTGTGGTATCATCGCCAACTTTTCTCTTTGAGTTTGCGGTTTGTCTAAGAACGGAAGAATATACTTGACAACACCTGGTTTTTCCATCACTATAGGTTTGCACATGCCTTTGGAAAGAAATTTACATATATAAAATGCACTTTCTTTACATGAGCCATCTGTCCACTTGAGATCATCAGCCAGCGAAATCGACACGCACCTTTTTTCCGTGCACGTGCTCAAAGGTTTCTTTTTCCATTTGGAATATTTGGACTCTTTTGGGTCTGTCGTCCATCTGAAGCCGTGCAACTCCTCAGTGAAATCCGTGCAGCTTCCTTTTAGCAACGCAAGTCCGATCCAAAGTTTAGAGTTAAGGATGCTGTCTTCTGCTGCTAGAAGAGCCGATTTAACGCTCTGAAATTCATTGTCATTTCTCATAGTAACCAAATTGCCACCATTATTGACACAGATATTAGAAGCTTTTTCAAAATCCTTTTCTTTCAAATGCAATGTGAAGCAAGCCTCGGCTGTGCAGGTTGGGATCACCCGGTGAGTTCCGTCAGCGATAAAAAAGGACAACATCAGAATCAGTACACGCATCATCCCGCCAATATCATTAATTTTAAAATACCTCTCGCTTTGAGGAGAAAAATTCAGTTAATCTCAGAGAATGGAGAAAGAGTTCTTCATAGGCATTCCCAAGACTCAAACTAATGCATCCTGTTTAGCCTAGTGAATAAATCGCAGGGCGAGTTCCTGACGCCAACAAAAAACAACTGACTTATTGTTTTGACTGCTTTCCCAGATGTATCAGCCTATGGCAGTTCAACAACGTGACACCAGTACAATTTTAGAATTAGACTTATATCCATGTTTCATGCTGTCATAGTTTCTAATGAAGAATAACATTCACACCATACGAAATATTAGCCTACAGATATGCATAATTTAGTTTACCATGAGTAATAAGTGCCCATTGGGGTTGTCAAGTATCAAGCTTAAACAAACAAATCTTGATGTTCTTGTGTCATCAAGATAATAATAATAATAATAATAAAATAATACAATCATGATCAGACAACTTTGAATCTGAGAGAAAAAAAAACTGGGAGAGATGAAAACTGTCAAAATTCATATCTTTTCATTAATCATAATTCACAAATGAAAGTTATCAAAAAGAGAAAACAAGTTGTGTATTATGTTGTCATTATTTCATTTCCCCCCAACATAATTATATTGCATATATTTTTAATGAATTACAGTAACACTTAATTTTACAGTCCTGTTCCCCATACATACATATACTTATAATAGTATAGTTACAATAACTACTAACCTTGAACCTACCCCCAAACCTGATCTTAACCCATGTAGTTACCTTATATTACTACGGAAGCGTATTGCATTCACTTGAGGAAAAAAAATCTACTCTGTTTTTCTGAATTAACAAGTTAATTATCTCAGAATTACGAGATCATTTTTCATGGGAAAAAAGTTTTTGCTCTGTTTTTCCTGAATTAACGAGTTAATTATCTCAGTATTACGAGATAATTTTTCATGGGAAAAAGTTTTTGCTCTGTTTTTCTGAATTAATGACTAATTATTGTAACTTATGATTATGAGTAACTCATTAATTCATAAAAACAGAGTGAAAAAAAAATGTTTTTCAAGAAAAATGTATCTCATAATTCTGAGATAATTAACTCATTAATTCAGAAAAACAGTGCAAAAAATTTTTTTCATGAAAAATATCTTGTAATTCTGAGATAATTAACTCGTTAATTCAGAAAAACAGAGCAAAACCTTTTTTTTCATGAAAAATTATCTCGTAATTCTGAGATAATTAACTCGTTAATTCAGAAAAACAGAGTAGATTTTTTTTCTTCAAGTGAATGCAATACGCTTTCGTATATTACCAGTACTTGCATGCTGTCAAATAAAGTGCAACCTGAATTACTTTACTGATCTAATGAGACAGTAGGCCCATGTATGCAAACATCCAGGGCTATAGGGCTAGTTGTCACACTTAAAAAAAAAAAAACTTTTTTATATATATATATTTCCACAAGTGTAGTTCTGAAAAAAGATATAGTTCATTGCACAAATACTGACATTTTGTCCTGATATTTTGGTATAAATAGCCTTTTATAGGTTATTCAGCAGTGAAACAAAATACGAAACAAAACGATTCATAAAACACCAAAAAGTTAAAAAATATTAGCTATGATCTAGGTGTTTGAATCCAACATACAAAACCACTGCTATAGAGAATACATAAATTTGTGTAACTAAACTAAAATAGTCACTAACATAAAGTGCTGTACGCATGAATTTAACATTTAATACAAACTGCATACTCAGCCACAAAATCGTACACAGAAACAAACACACAACATATCTTGGCATTGTGTCTGTTGCCTGCCTGTTGCTGATAAATCTAGTCATGGATCACATCCTGTGTTTGTGTTGAGCGGGGCAGCGCCTCCATTTGAATGGCAGGAAATGACCTAAGACACCCTTCCGGTGGGGCCTTTAGACCCATGTGTCGATGCAAGTGAAGTTGTTTTTTTTCTTGTTCATTGGGAATTGCACTCTTCCTATTTTGCATTATACAGGGTGTTGGAACAAGTGAAAAACGTTGTCTTCACTGCATCGATAAAAGTTAGCATAACTGTGATAAGGAACTTCATCAAAAATGCAAAGGACATGTTTATAACATACAAAAAGGATGATCTATTAAAAAGGATGGACATGGATACTTATAGTGGTTCATGTCAATGGAGCTCATACTCATAATCATAATTAACTCTATCAAAGTTTATTAAAATTCCATTTCAGTACAAATATCAACCCATTGTCTCTCCCCAAATATCTCTCACTCTTTTAAAATAGAAAACCACCATAGACAAAGAAACATCTGCTGTCCGTCCCATGAGCTCTGACTTGTAAACAGAGTTTCCTTCCTCTGTAGTATTTTTTCTTATCAGGGATCTCCATTTGTTGGTTGAAAGTTTTTTTTTTTGTATAATACCCTTATCACACATTTTCACTGGTGCAAAAGACTAACAAACACTAACAATATACAGGGAGTAGCAAATAGCATATATTGAATTCAAAATGTATTGTTGAATTTCTGCAAGACTTATTAGCCTATCAACAAACAAAACAAAAGTCACCTTGAAATTAAAATTGATGATCCAATCAGTTTACGATGGACAAAATCAAGCCCCGCCCTACATTTTTTCTTGTTCGAGAAACAATCACTTTGATATAGCCAATACATGAACAAACCCAAAACGTGACAGACTCCCCCCCCCCCGGCTGCCGACGCCCAACAAAACCAAACCAAAACTTAATTCCAGGAGGGTGGTGGAGCGGAGGAGGTCTTGGGGAGGGATGGTGGGTCAGGCCTGTGCAGGGGTAAAGGACATGGGATGTGACATGATGTCGTGTAGTGGCTCAGGCTCGGCAGGCATGACGTTAAAGTGGCTCTGGCTCGGCAGGCATGTCGTGTAGTGGCTCAGGCTCGGCAGGCATGACTTTAAGTGGCTCAGGCTCGGCAGGCATGACGTTAAAGTGGCTCAGGCTCGGCAGGCATGTCGTGTAGTGGCTCAGGCTCGGCAGGCATGACGTGAAGTGGCTCAGGCTTGGCAGGCATGACGTGAAGTGGCTCTGGGTGAGAGGATACTGTAGGGTTTGCGTGCTCCTCGTCCGCAAAACCCACAGAAAATGAGGAGCCGCTCAACGATAAAGCACGGTCAATGTATTGTGTCAGAGACCATTGAATTTCCCCCCCAGGTAGCTGGGAACAGACAAGCTCATTCAAACCTACCCTAAATACACTCACCTAAAGGATTATAATACTGTGTTTGACCCCCTTTCGCCTTCAGAACTGCCTTAATTCTACGTGGCATTGATTCAACAAGGTGCTGAAAGCATTCTTTAGAAATGTTGGCCCATATTGATAGGATAGCATCTTGCAGTTGATGGAGATTTGTGGGATGCACATCCAGGGCACGAAGCTCCCGTTCCACCACATCCCAAAGATGCTCTATTGGGTTAAGATCTGGTGACTGTGGGGGCCATTTTAGTACAGTGAACTCATTGTCATGTTCAAGAAACCAATTTGAAATGATTCGAGCTTTGTGACATGGTGCATTATCCTGCTGGAAGTAGCCATCAGAGGATGGGTACATGGTGGCCATAAAGGGATGGACATGGTCAGAAACAATGCTCAGGTAGGCCGTGGCATTTAAACAATGCCCAATTGGCACTAAGGGGCCTAAAGTGTGCCAGGAAAACATCCCCCACACCATTACACCACCACCACCAGCCTGCACAGTGGTAATAAGGCATGATGGATCCATGTTCTCATTCTGTTTACGCCAAATACTGACTCTACCATCTGAATGTCTCAACAGAAATCGAGACTCATCAGACCAGGCAACATTTTTCCTGTCTTCAACTGTCCAATTTTGGTGAGCACTTGCAAATTGTAGCCTCTTTTTCCTATTTGTAGTGGAGATGAGTGGTACCCGGTGGGGTCTTCTGCTTTTGTAGCCCATCCGCCTCAAGGTTGTGCGTGTTGTGGCTTCACAAATGCTTTGCTGCATACCTCGGTTGTAACGAGTGGTTATTTCAGTCAAAGTTGCTCTTCTATCAGCTTGAATCAGTCGGCCCATTCTCCTCTGACCTCTAGCATCAACAAGGCATTTTCGCCCACAGGACTGCCGCATACTGGATGTTTTTCCCTTTTCACACCATTCTTTGTAAACCCTAGAAATGGTTGTGCGTGAAAATCCCAGTAACTGAACAGATTGTGAAATACTCAGACCGGCCCGTCTGGCACCAACAACCATGCCACGCTCAAAATTGCTTAAATCACCTTTCTTTCCCATTCTGACATTCAGTTTGGAGTTCAGGAGATTGTCTTGACCAGGACCACACCCCTAAATGCATTGAAGCAACTGCCATGTGATTGGTTGATTAGATAATTGCATTAATGAGAAATTGAACAAGTGTTCCTAATAATCCTTTAGGTGAGTGTATGTCCTTAAGGGCCACATCATTAAACTCCAACAGGTGAGAGAGTTTAGAAAAACTCTGTCACATAATCCTCTATGGTGATGTCTTCTTGACGCAGATTTAGGAGAGCAACTGCTGGGTTCATGGTAGGTCAAGTTTTTCTGAAAGGGATCCACTGGAGGCAAGTGCAGATGAGAACCCAAGTGCAGTTTATTTATAAACATAACAAAATCAAAACATAAAACAAAAGCATGACGTGGCATGAACTCAAAAACATAAACATGAACGTGAACATGACGCTTACCAACAGTGGTTACAGTGGAACAAAAACTTGACAAAGACACATGGCAAACATTAGGGCTTAAATGCACACAAGACTAATGACAAGACAAGGGACACCGTGAACAATGAACCAATGACAACATGAAACATCAGACAAGGGAACACATGGCAGGATCACATGACTTTGAACAGGGGATCACATGACAAGACACAGGAACAAAGTAAGAAGAAGAGTAAGACACGGGAACAATACATGAACGAACCTAAAACGTGACACAGAGGAGAGCTATTATCTTCTTTTATGGATTTTATCGAAATACAGATGTTTTAATCGTTGTTTTAATATTAAAACAGCCATTTTAAGGGCTGTCTCAATCACCAAATCTTCCCAGTGCACTGAAACGTTCATTCCCTAAAAAGTCCCACAATGCACCGTGAAAACCAGGGAGATAATGTTGGAAAGATATCAGTTCTGCTGTTGTTCATAAACACCAGTTGTGATGTTGTACAATGAGGACGTTGTCATGCTGCTGGAAATTCAGTGTGTAGTGCTTAGTGTGTTTAGCTGCTTTGAAACAATCTGTATTGTAAAAAGTGCTATATAAATAAAGGTGACTTGTAGTAAGCAGGGTCCTTACTGTCCTTACCAGTGCCCGAATTCATGTGCACGATATAGCCTACTGATTCACGACCCCGGAAGCTATAGGGAGCGTTGAGATGCACCCATGGTCGGCTAGTGTAATAGACTAAAAGACGTGTTAATATTATTATACATTTTGTGTTTACTGATTCTAATATTGTAGTTCCTCCTGCCTTCATTAGGGTATGGCGTAGTCAGTTTGAGTTACTAGTACTACATTATCATGAAGATATTGAATGATTACAGGTGAAGATGGGAATGAAATTCACTAATTTAGTGTCAGTGAACTCTGGTGGAGAACTGGTGACATGACGGCTGCGAATATCAGTTTCAATTTAATGTGCATTTTATTATGACTATGGAATACAGCAGAGAACATTTTGTTCTTGAGAATGCAGAAGGAAATGTTAATATGAGTTTTTATCACTCACAGAAAACAAACAGTGATGAAGATATTGACCAGAAAGGCTCACCTTATAGCTTGTGCCCTATGAATTTTTGAGTGGTCTTATACTCTGAGTGTCTTGTTAATTAACTTAAGCTTTTGTAAATTAATTTAAGCTTTAAAAAGATATTTGCCTTGGTATATTTTTTTCCAAAGTAACCTCACAGTTCCAAACTGATTGCACATTCTTCTACAGTAGTCAACATTTGAAGTGGATTTTATTTTATTTATCAATTTTGAACAATACCCATTCTTGTCTTGGAACAACTTTTATTAACTTTTTTGATCCACTTCAAATGTTGACTTCTGTAGTTTAGCACTATCAAACTACTCCTCTCGTTGTACAGTGGCAGGACTTGATTTAACTTGACTGGTTTTCATTTGCATATACTGTACTGACACAAGGATTTAAATACCTAACATACCTGGCTGGCATGAGTGATCAAGAATTGTCTCATACTCTTACTTTCTATGGCCATAATTTATATTTATACTCATCATTAAATATATAATAAATATATTAATTTCAATCCATATAAATTGTAATTCATGATCATTATAATGATGAAGCCTGCAGTAGAATTCTACATTCAAAGCAAGTCAAGGCAGGATAAACTGGTTTCTGCTGCACTGAATGCATTTTTGGAGGGCTTACATAAGCTCATTCGATAAAAGCAAACTAAACTGTAAGCAGAATGTATTTTAAAATATTATGCACAGAAATAAACCATGCAAACCATCTTTCCTCCAAGAAAATAATAATAACAATAATAACTTGCTAATGTGAAATATGTAGGATTTCAGTGTCTTATAATGAGATGAGTTCAGATGAGTTTCTGTCAATCACTTCTTTGTTATAAACACATACGCTGGGAATGGGGCAGGGCTTACAAGTGTTTAAAAGCTTGAAGTACGGCAAAAGTGTGTAAAGACGGAGAAGATTACCAGTCACTTGGCTGAAAATTCATTGCATCTTTGAAGGTACATATTCATCTTATTTATCTTATTTATGTCAGTAATCCAATAAGTCGAAGCTCAATAGTCTCATAGGAAGGGAAGACCTTTATTCCGTTTGTATACAAACTAATTTATTTTAAAAAACACTTTATGGATTGTATACTTGTATGAATTTAATTACTTTGTCTTTAGTCTGTAACATATGCAAAATAAAGTACATCTGTACATTTACTTCTGTAGATGTTGTTCTGTAAGGATTTATTATACTGTGTTTATGTATGTTTTATGTCTGTATTCCCGCAGCATAAACAGTTGAGCATTGTGCTAACAATAGGTTTGATAAAATCGAACAACTACATTCAAAGACTCTTTGCACACATACCAACGAGAACAGTCATCAAGCTGTAAGATGAAGAGACACATTGATCTGTCAGGGTAAACATGACCTTCCTCTTAAAATAAAGATTGTGGATGGTATTTCTGGTGGCAGGGAATGGCAAAGGTGGTCAATGGGAACTGGTGGATATGAATTTGATAGAGGTAACTTTTATTAAAGAAATGTAATATCTTTGTATTATTGTTGTAATTTCCTCTTTTTAATAGTAAAGAAATCCAGACAGATTTCAAAATGCCTCCTCCAGCGGTTCCACACGGCATGTGTCTAAAAGTCATGGATGACCGCAACATGAAGGGTGGCATGGGCTCTGCAACACATCCTTTGAAGTTCATGGATCAGGACTACAACTCTTTACAAGACGTCTGTCTTAAGACAAGACAGAGATTTGTTGATGAGTTTTTCCCGCCAGACCCTCGTTCCATTGGCGAAGGGCTGCTGGAGCCAGAAGTCATGGCCCGAGTGGAGTGGATAAGACCAACGGTATGTAATCTATACTTCATCTTTAACGTGTTCTGATAATAATGCACACCTAAATAGAAGTGTAAACTTTTACAACTTTTGTTGAAAGCTAAAATATGTGACTGCGACAATTTAAATGCTTTAAAAGATATTACTAAAAACCACTATCAATCACATCTCTTTCACAGAATGCATCAGTTGCCAAATACTGAAGATATTACTTATTTTCTTTCAGAAATTGTATTCAGATAAAGCTGAATTTATTGTAGACACAGTGTCCAGGTTTGACTACGCCCAAGGGAATATAGGTATGTCTGAGTAACCACAATATTGTTGTTTTATACACTTAAAGCGTGGGTTGGCAGTTTTGGAGACGCTAGCAATAGCAAGTTAGCTTTGAAAACATCCCACCCTCCCTTCAGAGCTTCTCCAAAGCCACGCCTCCTTCAAAACACTTGAACGCGCAAAGCCAGAGAGTCTGCAAAGCGTCATGAGAGACAGAGTAAAATTACCTCACGCCTCAAAGCACATAACACTACAGTAATATGGAACATAAACAACTTACAGAGTTCTTACTTGTACCACTTGACTGATGCAAATACATTTCGGCATTGATAGTGTTGCCATAGAAACACAAAAATCCGAGCCTTAGGACGTGAACGTCACAGATTGCCATCTCGGTAATTATGCAGCGTAAACTCGTTGTTTCGGTTCAGGAGGAACTGTAAAAGGCGGCTGCTGCTCAATAATAGATTAAAGAGGCTATTGAGATAAAGCGACCTGCTCTGTGTAAATAAAAGATAGCCTATATTTAAGCCAAGTAACCTTATTGTATTTGTACAGATTTTCATATTATTCTTTTTCTGCCCTCTTAGCAACACACTAGGTGGTGTTATAATAAGTGCATTTGAGTTTTACATTTCTTTCCCCTTTCAAATCCTTGTAAGCCCCAAGAATCATACATCGGATTTTGTTTGCCCGCAGGAAAATCTTTCCGCCATATTGAATTTTTTTGGAAAACCTATTTTTTAGTTCGATGCTTCGATTTGCACAAAACTTGCCATGCATCATCCCCAGAGGTGGGTAGAGTATCCAAAAACTGTACTCAAGTAAAAGTACAAGTACTTATAGAAATATTTACTCAAAGTAAAAGTAAAAGTAATAATCTTAAAAGTTACTTGAGTAAGAGTAAAAAAGTATCCAATGAAAAAACTACTCAAGTAGTTAGTTACTAGTTACTTTGGATCACATAGGCCTATATATATATATATATAACATGATATTATTTACATATTTTTTTTATTTTAATGACTAAAATTATCATAATTAGATAAGCTATCTTTGCAACAAAAACAGAAGAGACAAACATTATTTCTGTATCTGTATATTATATCTATAGCCCGAAAACCATTGCCTGTCCTTTGGTTTGTATATAATAGTATAATAATTTATACAACTACATTTGGATTATTATTAATGTCGGAATAAAGTGACTCTATGGAGTTTTGCATTCAAATGTAAAGGGATTGGGAACCATTGACAGATTAGAAAGTGTTAAAACTCTGCACATGTGCTCGCAGTCATGTCATGCCCAACACAAACAACGATCAAATACACGGATCTTCTTCTGTCTGTTCTCCAAAATGTATTTAAATGTAGGCTATATTTATGAAAGCATCTTTAAACTGGTTAACTGTGTCTAATAAGGCAGGCAAAGGCATTCGTTTTCAAGTCGAGTTCGCACGCCACTGCGCAATACACATTGTGTGTGTAGCTACACACATTCATAAACTGGACGATGATAGCTTATTTAATGTATAAAGTAATGTATATGTCCAAAAATAGGGTAATGTCATACTTTGTAGTAGTGCTATATGGCGTAATAATCTGTTTGGTTGTAAAATGTATTACCTGAATGAAATGAAATCGAATGTATCGTCGTGTGGAATAATTCATTCACAGACAGCTTACGAAGTAACACACGAAGATGTTCAACTAATAAAGATCTTCATCGCTGGCAAAAAAATATGATGCTTTTGCAGATTTACTTTCTAGACTGTACTGTAGACTGTGGACCGCCACTTCATACAAGTCTGATGTTTTTTAAATCTTTACGACTCCGAGACGATTCAGTGCGTGCAGGAAACTGAACAGATCATTCAAACTGATTCGCGAACCGATTTAGACAGATCTGCCCAACTTGTTTGATGAAGTCTTTGAACAGAATCGACTCAAAAGAGTGATTCATCATTTGTGAATTGAGCATCGCTCATGCCCAGAAAAAAGAGAGAGCGCGCGCTTAGAATAAACTACGCTTTTAACAACATATTGCATTAAAATAAAGAAACGAGAGGAACGTCGCCCAACGTAACGAAGTAAAAGTACCGTTTTTTCATTAGAAATGTACTCGAGTTAAAGTAAAAGTACCCACAATTAAATCTACTCTTAAAAGTAAAAAAATTCCAAAAAAATACTCAAGTAAATGTAACGAAGTAAATGTACTTCGTTACTACCCACCTCTGATCATCCCAATACCCTCATTAAAAATGTCATCGAAAGAAACATCATTTTATATTGCACTTACAATATAGTTTTATATAATTAGTTTACAATTTATCCCAATAATATTGAAAACATATTTGTCAATTTGTGTGATGTAGTATATATACTGTTATTTGTTATTTGTCTTTTATAATATACAGAATTACACATCTATAAAGACACACTTAGAGACTTATTATATTTGAAAAGATGCATGAAGATCCCTATATCCTTTAGTCCGAGCCATTAGTGCCTGATGATTGCCTCTTGTGGCTAAATTTAGGCTTGATTTCTGTTGAAAACAAATAAAATTCCTTCACTAGTAAAACTAGAAAAATCCAAAATGAGTTGTGGAATATGAAAGATATCCTATCAAATTTACTGTTCCAATAAGTTTTTTTTTTTTTCTTCTTCAGGAAACTGCTGGTTTCTGGCCTCTGTTGGGGCTCTAACATTTCAAAACAAATTATTACAAAAGGTCTTCCCAGACGGACAGTCATTCAGCCACAATTATACTGGTTTATTTCACTTCAGGGTAAGTTCCTCTTTTTTCATGCCATAATTTCCAATATTTAATTCTATTTTGATCATATTATCCAGAATCGAAACCCCAAGCAAGTTATTCCTGTTAGTTTTTCACTCAGTGTTCTGCTTATGTAAACTTACAGTTCTGGCGGTTTGGGAAATGGTACGATGTTGTAATTGATGACAAACTGCCAACAATCAACCGCAAGCTGATTTTTGTCAAATCAAAAACATATAATGAGTTCTGGCCAGCCTTGCTGGAGAAAGCATATGCAAAGTAAGTGCCTGTACATCTTTTAGTGACTTTATGTGACTTTATAAAAAATGTAAGATTTCAAGTATATGTAAGCAATAGTGCTGTTGTATTGAAAATAAGGACGACTGTAATTCATGTGATTTCTGTACAGTAATAGTCATCAAATTTATGTCTATTACATTGCGGCATACAATTTAGAGTTTGAATGACTGTTACAGGGTGTGCGGCTCCTACGCTGACATGCACTATGGCCGGGTATCTGAAGCCCTCATGGACTTCACCGGTGGGGTTCATGTGCACTACGAACTGAAAACGGCTCCAACTGATTTGTGGGAGATAATGTACCGTGCGTTCCAGTCAGAAGTCCTTATGGGCTGTGAAACTCCACCAGGGGTAAAAATAAATTTAAAAAAACCCTTATATTTTACAGGGACATTTTAATTTGTGGGATTCCAAAAAAACACTTACTGCACATTTTAAGCAATGACTTTTACACCACATCATCTGTCTTCTGATAATTTTTCTGTTTCCACAGAATCAGAATGAGGAACGATTACCAAATGGCATTGTTCTGGGCCACGCTTACACCGTGACAAAGGTTTACCAGGTAAGACTGCACAAAATCAAGTCTCAGCACGCATCAGATTCAAATAAGGTCTCAAGGTAAATATGTTAGGGACAAAAGATAATGGAAGCCAACCAACTTGATACACACCCATGCTTTACATGTTTGTACATGCATTTGGCCTTTTTGCATTAATCTTAGTGTTTGTTCTGCTCAGTGCTCAAATGTCACAAATGATTAAAAATAAACAGATGCGTTTTACTTCAGAATTCTGGTAAATTACAAAATAAAGCTAAAGGCTAAAGCTACTGGTAATGTTAGAAAGATTTGCTACATGTTCATACTTCTAATTATGATATGCTCCACAGGTCATGAGTGGTAAATATCCAGTTCAACTTGTGAGATTGTTTAACCCATGGGGAGGCATTGAGTGGAATGGAGACTGGAGTGACAAGTAAGAAGTGATTTTATTTAACCACACAATCTCTTTTTTTTTTAAGTATGTTGTGGAAATTTCCTATTTGCAACAAATTTTATTCTTATGGATAAATCCCTTGAGATGCACAATCTCGTTTTCAAGAGGGTCCTAAAATACAATACACAAAACACAAAAAAAACTACAAGATAATTAATACACAAGAATAGCAAAACGTTAATAAACATAACCAATAAATTACAACAAACAAATGTTTGTAACGGTGCAGTGTAGTTGAATCTAAGGAGGGATGCGTGACGCAGAATGACAATGAAACATGAGTTTTAATAAACAAAGAAAGCAAGTGAACTCTACATGTTATGAATTTCTGGATGAACCCAATCGCAGACAGTTAGCAGAACACACAAGGTTTATTGATGACAGAAAACAGGGAAAACAAAACCCACGAGGGGGAAAACAGTAACAAATAATAATGACTAGCAACACTAGACTAAGACTTGACAATAAACTGCACAAGAACAAAACAGCTAATACAATATCACAACTTCGCTAGACAGAACTCTTGACAAGGTACTCACAGGTAAGTCTCATGCAATGTATGACAATGAACCGGCACAAGAAAGCAAACACAAGGGGATAAAATAGGGATAAACTAATAAAGACAACAGGTGACATTGATAAGGTAATAATGACAAGACGAGGATAACAAGGGGTCGGCGTAAGAGAACGAGACAACGCAAGCACACAGCCCAAACACAAGGCCATGAGCCTGCACACAAACCATGGGTTTGTCATGATCCTGCCTCAAGACTAGAGAAAGATAATGACAAAAGGGCAGAATCATGACAGAACCCCCCCCACCTTAAGGAGCGGCTTCCAGACGCTCCTCAAGAGGACATCAAACGCGAGACATGACAGACTGGGAAACAGACACAAACCAACAAAACATGACAAATAAAAGCAACGGCATACAAGAAAAAACAACAACGGGGTTAGGATGTAACAATAAAAATAACAAACACGGGAGGGGGGGGGTGGAGGAACAAGAGAGTACATGGGGGATAGTCTAGGGAGGGTGGGTGGACTGGGGGTCTTGGGTTTACGGGACGAGGGCTGAGGACGAGAAACCCTGGCAGACTTGGATGGGGACAACTGAGGAAAAGTCTTGGGGGAAACAGTCTGGGGCTGGGTAGTGACAGGGAGAATAGCAGGTAACGGAACAGGACACAAGACTGTGGGGCAGAGAGAGGCAACACTGTGGCTGGCTGCGGAGCTGGAAAGGGGTCAGCGTACTCCGCAGCAGAATCAGAACCAGCGCTCTTCACATCAGACTCGGGAGTAACGCTCCTCAAACCAGACTCGGAATTAGCGTCGTCTGCAGCTGACTCCGGAACAGCGTTGACTAAAACAGACCCTGGAACAGCGTTGACTGAAGCTGACTCTAGAGCTGACCCTGGAACAGCGTTGACTGAAGCTGACCCTGGAACAGCGTTGTCTCCATCAGACTTCAGAACAGCTCTCTCTGCGGCAGGTTCAGGAACCACTCTTTCTGCAGCAGGCTTCGGAACAGCCCTCTCTGTTGTAGCGGAAGGTTGAGAAACCATCGTGGACTCAGGGGGTGACAGAGACGGAGGAGAGAAAGCTCCCTTCTTCCTCCTCTTTCTCCTTGGCCGCGGAGCAGAGGCCGTAGCCGGACTTGTGACTGGCTGGGGAAGCACACCAGGAACCGTGACTGGTAGTGGAAGGACAGTCTCAGGCAGGGTTGACTCCGTCGCTGAGGACCCCGAAGCAGACTCCCACGAGATCCGTCTCCCTCGTTTTCCGCGAAGGCTGAAGGATACGGATGGTGTTTCAGTAGTCTTGGTGGAACAAGCCTGGTCCCCAAGCGTCGCGACGGCTAACATACGACCCTCTGGAATCACTGGCAGCCGGGCAGAAGGTGGAGACCTCGAGGAAGAAGCCTGCGGCACCTCCCGGGATAAAACGATCCCAGAGTTGGCCATAATTTCTTAGGATCCACTCACCCCGGGACGGGACTGGAAGGTTGACCCTCTTTCTGTCGGTGGGAGCCGACAACCAGCATTGTTCACGGAACTCCGATTGTCGCTGGAGCTGGGAGGACATACTGTCTGCTGGGTTCTTTGTTGGCCGGTTCATTCTGTTACAAATTTCGGCAGGGGCGGCAGTGGCTCAGTGGTTCATGTAGGTTGTCTACAAACCAGAAGTTCCACCTGACCAGGTGTCGAGGTGTCCATGAGCTAATCCCAGCTGCTCCCGACGAGCTGGATGGCGCCTTGCATGGCTGACACCGCCGTCGGTGTATGAATGAGTAAATGAATGGGTGAATGTGAGGCAAAATGTACAGCGCTTTGGTGGCCATTGGGTCTGTGAAAGCGCTATATAAATGCAGTCCATTTACCATTTACCATTAATAAAAATGGAAAAGTGGACCCAACACTGAGCCTTGAGGTATGCCTCTTTCTTGAATAATTATCAGATTTTCCCCCTTGAGTGATAACACATTGTTTTCTATTATGTAAATTGGAATTAAACCACAATAAAACATTTTGAGAAAATGGATCAGCCAGTGGATACATGAGGATATGAGAAGCAAATTTAATGTATATATTATTAAGATTGATAACAATAACATTCAAAACTTCTGTAGGTGTTATTTTAGTAAAAGAAAACAATACTATATAATTGTATAATAATAGTAGTTTATTGAAGCTATTCATATAAGAATGATCAGATGTTAGAACAGACTGTATATTTTGTTTTATAAAATGGGTAACACTTTAGAATACGGTTCCTTCGTTAATGAATAACTACACAGGAACAAATAAGTAACACAATATTAACAATCTAGTAACTACTATTAACTAACAAGAAATTCTGATTAACAAATTAGTAAGTAACAGCGCACAGATGATTGATTGATTGATTGATTTTATTTGACCACTTAAATATAAAAATATGAAAACAGTATGAAACTGAGTCATACATTAAAATAAAATACATAAGTAGTCAGGGATAACACAATAAAGCCCGAAGACTTATTTCCATTGTGGTCCCTTATAAAGGCAGCGGAAAAGTACAAGTGGCAGCAAATCACACATCAATCATTCATCATACATTAAACAAATTCATACATATTATACTGAAAAAATAATAATAAAAATAGACTATAGTATTATAATAACTACAATTGGCACCTAAACCATGCTTTCAAACCCTGTTTAAAACTTCCTATACTTTTTACTGTCTTAAGTGTACCAGGTAACTGATTCCAAAGGGTAGTTCCAGCATAAAGAAAAGACTGTTTGCCCAGATTAGTATTAAATCTGGGGGGTACAAAATCGGTTGAGCTACCCCTAGTGGAGTACCTGTGAACTTCGTTTACTCTATTAAAATAATTTCTAAAATATTTGGGAACATCTCCATAAACAATTTTATGTACCATACTCAGCTGCATCTGAGACACTCGATCCTCGACTTTCAACCATCCCACCCTTTCAAAGAGGGAAGATTCCAGATGAGTTCTAATGGGGAGGTCTAAAATTAGCCTTATTAATTTATTTTGAGACGTCTGAAGCCTATGTTTCAGGTTCCCTGTAAGACCATTGTACCATGCGCCACACGCATAATCAAAATAAGGCTGAATTAAAGCTCCTGCCAAAACTAACTTTGTTTTTTCATCCAAAAACTTTGATATTCTGGCCAAAAAACGAACTCTCTGATTAACTTTGGTGATTACCTTTTGGGCCTGACCTACACCAGATAAATTACAATCTAACATACATCCAAGATAACTGATTGATTCCTTGGCAGTAATTACAATATCTCCAGCTAGGACCTTAAAACATGAGGCTTTCTTTAACTTTATCTTTGTTGCAAACAATATGGATTCAGTTTTCCCTAAATGAAGTGATAATCTGTTATCAGCCATCCACATCCTAACATTTAGAAGTTCTGCGCTAAGTATGCTTTCAATCATATTCTTATCCTTGTGAGAAACAATCAGCGCAGAATCATCTGCATATAAAAAAAGACTGCATGAACAAGCAGACTTTAGATCATTTATATATAGTAAAAAGAAAAGTGGACCCAAAACGCTTCCTTGAGGTACCCCACAGCCCATGCCTTTTGGTTGAGACATTTTCCCCCCAATGTCCACTACTTGCGTTCTATTTTCCAGATAGGAGCCCACCCATTTTTGTGCTAATTCGCTAAAACCCATGGCTTTCAATTTATACATTAAAACACAATGGTCGACTGTATCAAAGGCTTTTTGTAAGTCTAACATAACCATGCCACAGAAGTTTCCATTATCTTTATATAGTCAGTTAAAAACAGTAAACAGGAATCCATAGAATGAGATTTACGAAAACCAGACTGGAACTCATAAAGTAGGTTTTGTGATTTTAAGTAATTATCAATCTGTTCAAAAATGATCCTTTCAATTATCTTTGACAGACAACCAAGAATTGAAACAGGTCTATAATTACCAGGGTCTAGTTTACTCCCTTTCTTATATATTGGAATCACTCTGGCAATCTTAAAGTCCCTGTAAAGTCAAAATTAAGTATGTGTTCTGAGGTTGTCACACCACAGAAAAATGTGTTATTAGCCACCCAGCCAAATTTGAATGATAAAAAAAGCCGGCAAGTACATAAAATAAGCTATCAAAATCTTGAAAAAATGAGCAGTATTCTCTGCTCTCAAACGCTGGGGGCGTGTCCGCTCGCTGCGCTGAAACCATGCCCACTCGCGGGAAAGCTGCCGACGCTGATATTAGCTGATACTGCTTTCGGGACGGGGAGATGAAGGCCGAGGCGGGAGATAGTCAGTTCGGCCCCATTCACCAGTAACAGCGGATTATCAGTGAATCCCAGTTGTCTCAGACGAAAGTTTATAAAACTATCCCGTGTAAAATCATCACTACAGAGGCGGGTGTTGGCGGTGATCCTCAGCTCTCCATCAAGGTTGGCTCTTCACAAAATTAATCCACCTTGATGTGTGGATGTGATGTGATCGTTTTTAGGAAATTTAAATAAAGACACCGATCTGTTTTGTACATGATCGCATCCAGGTAGTAGCCTATGCATTTCCGTGTCGAAGGCATAGCTAGCTAGAAAACTGTAGGCTGTAGTACTAATAGTACTGACAGTAACTCGCGATTGAGCAGTGAACTGATGCGAATGTGCTCTATTGTTAGGGGAGGGGCCAGCCTCAGTGGCCTCAGTGCGTCATCAAGTAGGGGCGTGTCCAGGAGCTCAGGGGCTCCAGTGCATCATCAAGCCCCGTTTTAGCCCCGCCCAAAAAATCCGGAAAATAGCAATGGTGAAAAACTGTTTAACGGTCTAACTCCACAATTCAGTACTTCACAGTTCACAGTCTTTGTAATATGTTTTAGCAATACATTTCTAACATTTATAATGGGTTTAGATTTTTTTTTTAGAATTGCCTTTACAGGGACTTTAAGGTCATTGGGAAAGTATCCTTGTTCTATCGACCTGTTTATAATATGAGTAATGCTCGGAGTAATGATCTCAGCGGCATCCCTCACGAATCTAGATGGAATAGAATCTAATCCTGTGGCTTTAGAGCCATCAAGCCTCTTCAGCTTCTCAAGAACAAGTGCCTCCCACACCTTATCAAAAGAGAAACTCCCCGCCTGAACACCTAACTGAGAATAAAAGTCCTGCACATGACTTTCCCCATATTGACCAGTCTGGTCAGGTAACTTTTCCACAAGCTTCCTGGCAACTGATGAGAAATACTTATTAAAGCTATCTGCCACTATCTCCTTCTCTGATGTAATATTGTTGCCAAGATCCAGAGTAATATTAGTATTTTTTGTTTTTAGCCTTTTACTGTAGCCAAGGTGTTTAAGGGATTTCCATAGCTTTCCTGAGTCATTTCTATATTCAGCAATTTTTTCATTGAAATATGCCTTTTTAGTATTGACAACTAATTTGTTAACGTCATTTCTTGCCTTTTTATAATCAGCCCAACTCTGCTCATCCTTTTTTTCTCTGAATTTCCCATGCTTCCTTTTTCTTAGCCTAATTGCCTCAAGGATGTCATCATTTACCCAGGGTTCTGTTCTCTGCTTTATTCTGATTTCCTTATATGGGGCTATTTTATCTATAGCTTCTAAAAACATACTTTTAAATAAGCACCATGCTTTGTCCACATCACTACATAGCAAAACCTTAGACCAATTCATTTTAATTAAGCAGCCATTCAGCGCTTCTTTGCTATACTTTTTCAGTGACCGGATCTTAATAGACGTATGACAGTTAAGCACTGCTTGCTTGATCTTTCTAGTACAGAAGATAATAGAATGGTCACTCAACCCATATTTTATAACCCCGCTTTCAGTTATCCTAGATTTATCTGACACTAGGACAAGGTCAATCGTGGTTTGGGGGGTAGAGCACACACGTGTAGGTTCATCAATCAGCTGATGTAAACTATAGGAGCGACAGAAATGCATCAATGCTTTATACCCAGAAACATCACTTTTCTGAAAATCAGTGTTGAAATCCCCCAACATGATAACTTCTGATTTAACCAAGTCCATGCAATTTGAACAAACATCCTCTAAAAGTTCATAAAACTGTGTTTGATCAGGCGGTCTATAACATGCGCAAATTAGTATGGGCTTACTCTTCGGTAGCAAAATATCTAACCAGACTGCTTCAACCTGCTCTATTTAAATCCATTCTATGATTAAAACCAATGTCCGCTCTTACATATATACACACCCCTCCACCTTTGCGGTTTCGATCTCTCCTAATTACGAAATAGTTCTCCAGTTCAATTTCAGCGTCCGTAATGGAGTCATCCAGCCATGTCTCAGTGAAACAAAAAATTCCCACCTTTCTGCTTTTACTGAGGTGTCGGATCTCTGTGATTTTCGGGAGAAGGCTTCTGACGTTGAGATGAAGCAGGTGTAATCCTCTCGTCAACAACAAAGAATCCACATTCGATATTGTGTCTCCCAGTTCCAGATCTCCGCCACTTCTCCCGGCGCTTCCGCGCACGCTTCCACTCCCTTCAGCGACACTCATGGATAGGAGTTTGTCCCCGGCGTTTGGATGTCTAGAGCAAGCCATTGCACATGTAGAGGGCCTACTTGACATTGTTTTCGTTGATCCGAATTTCCGCATCTCGGAAATGAAAGTGGTAGTTCACTATTAAATAATCAATAACTACTTTTTTTTAATGCTTCCCAGAGAACTACTGTAAGAATCATGGTAACTAACTAGTAATGACTCAAGTGTTACTACATACTTCTAAAGGAATGACTAATTATTTGGATCCGTATTCTAAAGTGAAGATCACAGTAACTAACTAGTAATTACTCAAGTGTTACTACATACTTCTAAAGGAATTACTAATTCTTTTAAGCTTTTGAGGTTTTTGGTGAAGTTTTAGATAGTAATTCGCATAGAAGTATGTAGTAACACTTGAGTAATTACTAGTTAGTTACCATGATCTTCACTTTAGAATACGGATCCAAATAATTAGTAATTCCTTTAGAAGTATGTGTAACACTTGAGTCATTACTAGTTAGTTACCATGATCTTCACTTTAGAATACGGATCCAAATAATTAGTCATTCCTTTAGAAGTATGTAGTAACACTTGAGTCATTACTAGTTAGTTATCATGATTATTACATGAAAAGCCAATCCTAAAGTGTAGAATCTTCTAATCCCTCACAAGATATTTGCACGCACGTATGAGGTAGGAGACATTAATAAAATCTTTTTTTTTTTTGCGAGGTATAGGTTAAATAATAAAATCACTGTATATGGTATTTGGATGGCCGATAACTCAATATGTTCCAGCCGTCACCGTGACTCTGGCCAATTTTCTGGCATTCCTCTGGACTGGCATTGAATCACTACAGGACAAGTAAGGTCCCGACAACTGCATTTAAAAAGCCATTTCTTTAAAATTATTCAGTTGATAAATAGTTCTCTAGGAGAGAGCATAGGCTAATTATTTCCCAAATCATAAGTCTGCTATGCTATTACATATTGATAAACCGTGTGTATTTGTTTACAGCAGTTATTAATGTTAATGTAGTGCTAGTCATTTGTCCTGAATTAGTTATTGATTAGTTTTGCATGAACTATTAATATTCTTCAGTAGTTCTCTGGGAAGCATAAAAAAAATAGTAGTTATCAATTAGTTAATTGTGAACTACCACTTTAATCTGTGCGCTGTTACTTACTAATTCGTTAATCAGAATTTCTTGTTAGTTAATAGTAGTTACTAGATTGTTAATATTGTGTTACTCATTTGTTCCTGTGTAGTTATTCATTAACGAAGGAACCGTATTCTAAAGTGTTACCATAAAATGCATAGCATGGATAGGGAATCATGAATTATATCACACAATAGTAGCAGTTTAAGATAACTAACTCTCAGAACAACTAGCAGTGAAACTATTTTTTGCAGTTCTCGAACAAAAAAGTTTGTGAAATTGTTTGATTATTGCATAGTCAAAATGATCCATTATTCTGATGTATGTTTTACATCATTCTTTCAGCTCACCCTTGTGGAACACAGTGAGTGATGAGGACCGCAAACAACATCTTCAGGACGAAAATTCGAAAGAGTTCTGGTGAGTATGAACCATGTTTTGAAAAAGATTCTTAATGCATAGTAAAACATGAATTACATTTAGTCTAGGATTTACATATATTTTTTTGTTGTTGTTGCAGGATGTCAATGAATGATTTCCTTAGAACATTTGACAACATGGATATCTGCTGTTCCTGTCCTGATTTTCTGGAAGAAAAGTCTGCATGTCACTGGATTTCCAACTTCCACCATGGCAGCTGGGTTCCTGGGAGTACAGCTGGAGGCTGCATGAATCATTCAGGTGCTTTTCATTCATTAGTGGTGCCAAAGGCAAAAGTTTGGCGTGCTGCTCCTCCCACGAATTTTGTCACAGACCCATGAATGAGGAGTCAAATCGTGCGGATTATTGAGCAGAGGTGTGCTATGACTTTTATAAGCGGTGCTCGCCCCAGGGGGCGAAAAGGCGGCCGAAAAAGTCCCATAGACTTTGTATTTTGCGACAAACTTTGACGAGTCATAGCTCCGAGCGAGAATTTCGCAGAAACGTGTGATCTACCACATTTGGCTGGCAGGCTCTGTAAGAACATACCTCACAATGGGGGTAAAAGTTGCACCCCTGGGGGGCAGGAGCTGCCCAAAGTTGCCCCATTGACATACTATGGTGTAGGACAGCCCATGAAACACATGTTTTCCCTACTATGGTAAATTGCATTGGGAATTTGTATTGAACCTAACTCTAGATCACACTGTCATAGAGACAAGGGGGAGGGCTCATTTTACTCAGACGACCAATCAGTCTCTCAGGATCATTGTGAAGCTATCAAGCCACGCCCCAGGCAACCATTTAGAACACCATAGCAACATGTTCCATAGACTTCCATTGAAAAGAGATCAAAGGGATATCTTTGAATAGAAGTTTCATAGAAACGTTAGGGTGGTCTCGTTTGACTCGGGTCAGCAAACAGCCAATCATGAGACACCTTCAACACTTCCTGGCCATGCCCTAACAACCCAAATACAAAGAGAGATATCTTCCATTCTGAATGTCATAGAGGCATAGGAGTTGGTTTATATCATTCATACTGACAAGCAGCCTTTGGAGTATCATCATTGGCAGCTGCCACTAGCAACCAAATAGAGTACCCTAGCAACCGTTTTGCAAGACCTATATCTCTGCATCAGAACATCATATAGAGATGGGGGTTGGCTCTTTTGACTCATGCTAGCAAACATGACTTCCAACATGCTACACATGTTAGCTGTGAATAGCTACATGCTAATTGCAATTAGCTTAGGGTTAAACATGATAAGAACCAGTAAAAATGTGCAAGCATCATGCATGGCAACATGATAATCCTACTAGAATCACGCTAGCAACATGCTATTCTTGCTAGCATATTGCTAAAAACATGCTAATCATGCTAGAATAATGCTAGCAACGTGCTAATCATGCTAGCATCATGTTAGCAACATGCTTATCATGCTAACTACATGCTTATCATGCTAGCAACGTGCTAATCATGTTAGGATCATGCTAGCAATATGATAATCATGCTATCATAATGCTATAGACATGATAGCAACATGCTAATCATGCTAGCAACATGCTAATCATGTTAGCATCATGCTAATTTAGCTAATTATGCTAATTTTGTTATCATCTTGCTAAAAACTAGCTAACCGCACCTAGCAACCGATTGGCGAGTTTTGCCACTGCAAGCACCACTCACATTTTCTTCAGGAAATGTACATTCTAGTTATGATTATAAAGCTACTAGTCATCAATGCAAATCTGCTTCTAACACCCGTGTCCTGTAATTGTAGACACCTTCTTTACCAACCCCCAGTTTTGGTTGAAGATTAATGAGATGGATAAGGCCTGTGAGCAGGGCAAGAGCAATGTTCTGGTGTCCCTCATACAGAAACCTGACAAGAGAAACAGACGCCTTGCTTCACACCATGGCATCGGCTTCTGCGTGTTTGCGGTCAGTATTCACAAAAAAACCCAAAAAAACATAAACAAAACTAAACCCGCAAAGGCAATAAATATGGTTGTACAATGATGCCTTTGTGCTTAGAGTGTAACATTTATTTTTGTTTTGAACTTTTACAGGTTCCACCCGAGGCAAGTACAATTTGTTTTTAATCAGTTTTTAATACATATTACATAAGTTGTCATACCTTTCTGACACGTTTTTTGTTTAATCATCCTTCAGATGAGATCTGAGGGAAAGTTTGGATCAAGCTTTTTCTATAGCAGAAAGCCTGTGGCAACAAGCGGGGCTTTTCAGGATGCAAGACAAGTGATGAAATTATTCAGACTGGAGCCAGGAGAGTATCTCATTGTACCATCCACTTACATCCCTAATAAGAACGCAGAATTCATCCTGTCCATTCTGTGCAAAAATGAGATAAACATTTTGTGAGTTACATGAAGGACTGAGAGATTGACTATAAGTTTACAATATTCAACATTTGAGTAATTATTTATGCTTGGAATACTGGAAAACTGACTTTATACACTGAAATGTTCACAATCATGTGCTTTATTACACTGGTTGATTTTTTTTTTAAATATGTGTTTTTTTATCCAGAAAGGACACTATGTCAATATGTGCAATCATTGAATTAGTGACTGAAATATTGGTTCTTTCATTTACATTTACATTTATTCATTTAGCAGACGCTTTTATCCAAAGCGACTTACAAATGAGAACAATAGAAGCAGTGAAACTAACAGTAGGACAACAATATGCAAGTGCTATGACCCCTCTCAGTTTCATCTAACGCAGTTTTTTTTTTTTTATGGAAAAGAAAAGAAAGTGTTAGTGTTACTGGATCAAGTGCTGCCGAAAAAGATTCGTCTCTGCAGCTGTTTCTTGAAAGTGGCTACTGACTCCGCAGCTCTGGTTGAGTTGGGCAGATCATTCCACCAGCAGGGAACAGACATGGTAAAGGTCCGAGAAAGAGATTTTGTACCTCTTTGAGATGGTACCACAAGATGACATTCGCTTGCAGAGCGCAAGTTTCTGGATGGCACATAAGTCTGAAGTAATGAGTTTAGGTCAAAGGGACCAGTGACAGTGGTTGTAGGCAAACCTCAGATTCTTCATGAAAACCTACTTAGAGGTGAGTGTTTTAAAAATCCTGTACGTTCTATGTGAAATATTGCTAGTAAATAAATCTTAAATTGCCTCATAAATCACTCAAATGTGACCCGTACCTTTTAGGAAATAGAAATACTGAAGGATTTGCCTGGATTCCTGCAGAAGTATAATTGCCATGTCAGATGTATCCTTTTTTCCTTAAACAAGTAATTAAAAACTATTAAAACATAATATGTTTAACAATGATATATGAGTTATCCATATGGTTCAGCTTGTGTTTCCAGTCATACTGTGAAGAAACATGTTTTAGCTCTAGAAATATTTCTTGACTGTAACAATAAAAATAGTTCTCTGTCACTGGAAGAATTTCTTCATCTGTGGACCCTTCTTTGTTATGATGTACAAGGTGAGTGGATTTGAGTCTGGAATTTAGCTTTGATTGTTATTGTATTAAGGACAAGAAACAGAGATATGTATTGATTTTTATTAAGACACTTACATTTGTATACAGGAAATCTTCTACAGCATGGATACTTCCAAAGATGGCGTTCTGTCTTTGAACGAACTGCAAAATGCATTAGAGAAAACAGGTTGAAGCTTATACAGTTTATACTTTGCTGCAGTAAAACATTGTAGAAAATATTGTAATTTCTTTAGTAGTAGAAAAGTATTCAATATTTGCACTAACTATTTTTACAAACATCACTGCTGGTGGTACAGTGTATATCTATAGCTGCCCAGTGACCCCTAAAATTTTATTCGGAGATATTATGATATAATATTTTCATTCACACATTGTATAGATCCTGTATTTACTGTATATCATGGTTTTTGTGCCCTAGGCTTGCATCTAAATGAAGACATCCTGAGTCTCATGGTTGTGTGGTATGGTGGTGCTTCAGAACAGATCTCTCTGGAGGGTTTCATTTGCCTTGTCATGCGTTTGAACTGCATGGCTAGTGAGTAACACTAGACAGAAAGACAATTTGATGTTCTCTCTCTCTCTCTCTGGTTTCCTTATACAGAAAGCTGGAGCCTTTCCCAGTACAAACACTCACATTCACACTCTCACTGTAACATCTATGGGCCATTTTAAACTTTCCAATTTAACCAAAGTCCACACAGAAATCCTCTGAGCCACCGTGCCGGCCTAATTTGATGTTCAGGTCAGGACTTTAAAAATAATAAAAATAAAAATAAAACATCAGGGTAAGCTACCAAGAGTTGTGTCACACACTGGTAAACATGGTTTGACCCTTTCATGCTCCTGAAATAGTTTGAGCTAAATACCCTGGGTATTTATTATTATTATTACATTTTAACAGTTTTTATTTTCTTCATCAGGAATATTCCAGAGACTCTGTGAAAGTGGGAAGATAACTCTTAATGAGAGTGAGGTAATCCTGATGTAAACATTTTTTTTTTTTTTCATATCTCCAACCACACAAAGTACAAGTGTTTAAAAAGAAAAGTTCTGTTTGATTTTCTTTGTCATTTTTTTTCCATTCAATACATTCACAACCAATTTCTGTGCATCTGTGTTTTAGTGGATTGGACTCACCATGTACTCATGAGGGAACGTCTGTTTGCCAGGAGGTTTGCCATCAAACGCAAGAACAGATCGGCGGTTTAGGCAGTCGAATTTTTTATTTTTTTTTATTTTATATTAAACTCATAAACAAATTGTGATGCTTAGTCACTTATTATCCCTCTAAGATTTAAAATGCTTTTGCTTTTCTTACAATTATTATTTGATATACACATTTCACATTGTCCAATTGTGTTTGTAATTCTGTAATTTGTGCAAAAATAACTGTATTAACTGTCTGTTTGAAAAGTGATTAATGGATGTATTATTTCTCATGTTGACCACCTGGAGTCACTGTTGTCGGATTGTTTGCTTTGGTTTTGAAACCTCCTGCTATTGTTGTCATTGTTAGTTATCTAGTTTTCTAGGTTTTTAAAAAAAAGATGACATTTGAACCAACCCTGAGTTGCTAGGGTCAAATAAAGGGATTGTTCACCCAAAAATGAAAATTCTGTTATTCTCACCCTTAAGTTGTTCCAATCCTGTATGAGTTTCTTTCTTCTGCTGAACACATAAGATATTTTGAAGAATATGGGTAACTAAATAGTTGATGGGCCCCATTAACCCGTCCTTCAGATGAGATGTTAAATCGAGGTCCGGACTTCCCAGGATGTCCTTCGGAAAAGAGTAGGGGTTTAACCTCGGCATCCTGGCCAAATTTGCCCCTTGGCCTCTGTCCATCATCATGGCGTCCTAATCATCCCCAAATACTAATCGGCTTCATCACTCTGTCTCCTCTCCATCAGTAAGCTGGTGTGTGGTGGGCGTTCTGGCACAATATGGCTGCCGTCGCATCATCCAGGGGGATGCTGGACATTGGTGGTGGTTGAGGAGATTCCCCCTTTCATATGTGAAGCGCTTTCAGTACCAGAAAAGTACTATATCGAATTATTAACTTCCACAGTATGGAAAAAAATACTATGGTAGTCAATGGGGTCCATCAACTGTTTTGACATTTTTCAAAATATTTTCTGTTGTGTTCTGCAGAAGAGACAAATTCATACAGGTTTGGAACAAATGATGACAGAATTTTCCTTTTTGGGTGAACTCTCCCTTTAAGCGATAGGGTCACAATGTAAATGATTCACTTGATCTATTGTCTCGTTACTCTTCACTCTTAAAAATAAAGTTTTTTTGGTAACACTTTACAATAAGGTTCATTAGTTAACTAGTTAACATGAACTAACAATGAACAATACTTCTTCAGCATTTATTAATCTTATATTATATTCAGCATTTACTAATACATTATTAAAGCCAAAGGTTGTGTTTGTTGACATTAGTTAATGCACTGTGAACTAACATGAACAAACAATGAACAGCTGTATTTTTATTAACCAACATTAACAAAGATGAATAAATACTGTAACAGATGTATTGCTCATTGTTAGTTCATGTTGGTTAATACATTAACTAATGTTAACTAATGAACCTTATTGTAAAGTGTTACCGTTTTTTTATTGGCATCAATAGTTCTATGAAGAACCTTTAACATCCACAGAACCGTCACATTCCACAATAGGTTCTTTATAGTGGAAAAGGGTTCTTAAAGGGATAGTTCATCCAAAAATGAAAATGTCATTATTTACTCACCCTCAAGTTGTTCCAAACCTGTATTGGTTTCTTTTTTCTGCTGAAGTAAAAAAAAAAAAAAAAAAATATATATATATATATATATTGAAGAATGTTGGTAACCAGACCGTTGATGGCACCCACTGACTTCCATAGTAGGAAAAAAAATACTATGGAAGTCAGTGGGTGCCGTCAAATGCCTGGTTACCAACATTCTTCAAAATATCTCTTTTTGTCTTCAACAGAAGAAAGAAAACCATACAGGTTTGGAACAACTTGAGGGTGAGTACATAGGTATAGATACGCACTTTCATGAGATCGTGTTGGTTTAGTCTATAGATATGCGTGGTTGAATATGTATGTGACGTCTTTCTTTACAAATTGAGATCACACTAAGAAAAAAATGGTTCTTTTAAGAACTGTTGACTGAAAGGTTCTTTGGGGAAACGAAAATGGTTCTTATGACACTGATACTAAAACACCCATTTGGAACCTTATTTTTAAGAGTGTAAAGAAATGCATGATATTAACGTTTTGGAACACTGAGCATTTTCCCTTTTCTCTTTGTCCTTTTTTCTATAGCCAAAGTCACAGAATGTTTGAAAAAGCGATTGTTGGTTTGCCGTCAGAAATTCGTGTATGGGCCATTTTACAGAATTGGGGCAAACTGCTGTCCCACAACCAAAAAACACATTTAAAAAGCATTCAATTGTTCAAATTTTAGATTTTTACTAAGATCCTTCTTTTATCTATTGAATAATATTTAAAATATAAGTAAGCTTAATATATGAAATCATCATTTATTGAGTACTTTTAATTGGGAGGAGGCTGTCCCCAACCCTAACCCCTAAATTTCAACTTGTGAAAATGATATTGAAATGTTTTTTTATTTTTTATTTGTATTTTTTTTTTTACATTTTTCATTGTAGATGGAGACCAACATTTTGAGGGAAATGTGTTAAAAAGTCAGAAAATCTGTGTGTAACTTTAAGGAACATAACGACTCGGTTACTGACGTAACCTCGGTTCCCTGAGAGGAGGGAACGAGTATTGCGTAAGTAGCTTACGCTATGGGAAAACTCCTTTTCTCGAGAAATATTGAATATTGGCGAGAGCTGAAGTAGATCGGCAAGGCTTCGAGGGATGAGAAGCTTTGGCTTTCCATCCAGCGGTGGAGGGTGGGCACAGGTGATTGGCGGAGTCCCCTCGTAGCCTCTTTCTTTCGCGCCGTCCACAGAGGAGAGCGACGAAGAGAAAGAAGGCTTCAGGCGAGCGGAGTGCAGGGCTTTCCACGACTTCGTGAGTTCGTTGTGAACTTCCGGGAAGAAAGGGGAGGACTTTTGCAGAGGAGCCTGCCAGCGCCCCTGCAGGAACCACTCGTCCAGTCGGCTGCGGGCGGGTTCTTCCGGGGAAGACCAATCGAGCCCGAGGTCTTCCACGGCCTTAGATAGGATGCGGACGATCTCCGAGTCCATGCTGGAGCCCACGCTCGTGCCCGCTAACGTCGATGGCGCGGGGTCGAAGGACGAGCCAGGCCAGTCGTCGGATGCAGCATCAAAGGAAAGGCTGTCATCCTTTTCGTCGTCATCCCCTAACGTGCCAAACGAGACGAGACCCATCGCTCTGCTGGAGGGGTGCTGGTCCGCCTGTGTGAACTGGACTGGCGGCGGGGAGTCTTCGGGTGGTGGTGAAGCACGCGGGGATTGGCCCGGCGTGACGCCACTGCAAACCGCGTGCTCTGGCGGCCTCTGTGAGCGGCGCTTCTTCTTGCGCGGCTCGACCAGAGGGGATGGAAGCACGGTGGTGGTGGGCTCTTTCGCGGCGAAAGCGGCGAAGCGAGCGCGCAGCTCGGTGAGGCCCAGGGCGTCACACGTCAGCGGGTGCAAATGATGTGACGATCCCCGTCCTGAAGAGGGCCTCGACACGAGGCACAGGAAGGCATTTGAAACAACGCCCAGTTAATTTGCTCTTTTAGAAAAGTGTCACGGGGGCAAAGACTGGTAGCTTTGAAAGGATATAGGTGATGCGCGCCGGATGGCTTAGCAGAAGGCGTTCGAAGGCGGCTGAAGGCGCCGGCGTCCTCGTAGCAGTCCTGCTGTAGGCTTGTCGACGGCGGCGGCGAAAAGACTCCAAAAATCCGGAGGATCCAGCGAAGAGAAGGTCTTTGCTGAAGGAGATTAAATCTAAAGAAGTCAGACGACGGGGCGCCCAATATATAGCCCTTTGGCACGCCCATCTTGGCGGGCCCTGACGCGCGCGGGCGCGAAGCACGCTCATTGGAAGCGGGTTCAGAGTCGCCCCGTCATAGGTTCGTGCAGTTGCCGCAGCACAGCCAATGACCGAGCTGCCTCGCTCATTGCTGTATGCTGTGCAGCTGCAATGCGTTTTACATAAAGACTTCAATATTTCTCGAGAAAAGGAGTTTTCCCATAGCGTAAGCTACTTACGCAATAGGAGGAACCTCTCGAAAGGGAACTACCAAGCACCTTTTTTTCTGCAATTAAGCTAACTTTTTTGGGGGGTTATTCCATTAAATTGAGTTTTTGTGTTACGGTTCAGAACTGTGCTAGTTAACCATGTGCTGATTAGCATATTTGAGCTAGGCTCAAAAGTATCTAAAATTGTCACTACTGAAACAGTCACTACCAAAACATGTCATCATTGTTTTGGTAGTGACAAAAGGGAACACATGTCATTTAATTTTTGGGGAAATAAACAACATTTTAGTAAAGTTATGGAAATCATTAGTAGGGGAGACCGGGGGGAATTGTAACATATTTTACATTTTCCTTAATAACTCACAAACTACTTGAGATAGACTAGTCATCTTTTGATACAAGAAACATATATATGTGCACTAATTAATAATACAATTTATATATTTTCACTTATAAGAACAAGACTAAAATATTTAATTAAATGCAAGAAGTCAGAGTGTTACAATTTCCCCCGCCAAGGGGCTAATTGTAACAGTGTGTGGGGGCAATTGTAACACTGAGACATAACTCCTAACCACTTTATCTCAAATAAAAGCCTACCTCAAAGTAATCACTTTACTGCTGTTGTATTTAATAGTTACTTAAGAGTTTTTTTGTATATGGTTAAATTTTTTTTAGATGTCAGGCATCACACGCATTATATAAAAAAATGTTAATTGATGATTTGTTAATACTGGAACAAACATTTATTTTAATAAACCCTTTTAAAATGAAGTTTTACAATAGAATTTAGTGAAATATGTTCATTTTTTAACAGAAAAGTATGTCAACACACACAAACAAGCTTATCACAATGGGCCTTGTGGCTCGGGGGCAATTGTAACAGTGTTACAATTGCCCCCGATACTGCAGCCATGACAAAATCTTATATGCTAGCTAGCCCAACCTGTATTAGCATAGGTTGTTCATGTTCGTTTTTAATCAATAACCTGGGATAAAATGTATATAAGTTTAAATTCACAGACATCTAAACTTTAGACAGCA